CCTTGTGCCTTAAACTCAGAGGCAGAGCAGTGATTATCTGCCAGCACAGGGACAGCTGGTTCCTTTCTTTTAGCCCCTTCCAGCTGGGAATAGGAATCTGGAAGCATGGAGGTGAGGAGGAGCCAGGAGCTCCGGATTTGTAACTGGGCCCTTCAAGGAAATGTTCTCAGCAGGACAGGATTTTCTCCCTTGGGCAGAGTCAGGGTGAATGGTGGCTGAAGCACAAGGAGACAGCTGAGGGAGGGCGGGAGGCCTGCAACAGCTGGACCTGAGGGGGCGGCTCACAGAGCCAGGGGTTGGGAACCTGCCTGCTGCTAAAGTGCACCACTCCCAATTCTGCTTGAAGATTTGGAGGGGGAGGGGTGGGGGAGGGGGAGGGGTGGGGGAGGGGCAGAGGTCAAGTCATGTAACTGGTAAGTAATTTTTGATATTTTAATATTAAAGCAAACATGGATATTTTATGGCCTGGAATGAAAAATTCACATGAAGTTGAAAGATAAAACGGGGGGCTTTGAAGGAATGTCCAGCTTGCAGCAGACTCCAGGCTGTACCCCGGAGTACAGATTCCCGGGGTGCCCCTCTGTTTTCCTCCCCCATAGGGCACCTAGTGGGAGAAGGTGGGGGCATAGTGCAGGCTGGAGTGGGTGGGGGAGCCAGGCTGAGTCAGAGATCACTGGTAATTCCACATCTGCAGGTGTGTCCATGACCCACCTTCCCCGATCTGGGTGCTGGGGACAAGAGCCCCCACATATTGCATATAAAGACCTTGCAACCCTTTGACTTCTCCTTGGGAGTCTCTGAAACCAGCAGGAGGGTACATCCCTGAGAGGTGGGGTGAAGCCCCGGGGGGCAGAGGGTACAGGAGGCGGTATGTGGAAAGTGTCCAGAAATGTACAAATGAGAAGTGAGAGGGGCACAGCTGAGTGGAGGAAGGGTCAGTGAGTCATTTGCTCCCAGCCTGGAACAGGGCCCAGTGTGGAAGTTCTGTCTTTGGAGTCCAACAGACCTGGGTTTAAATCCCAGCTGCACCACTGATCACCTGTGTAACCTTGAAGCTTGGGTTCCCCTTCTAAAAAATAGAGATGATAAGCATGCATTCCTCCTAGATCCCTGTGAGAATCAACTAGGTTCAATCACCAAAGAGCTAGTTAATGCTTAGCAAAAAGTCAATCCTGCCCTAGGCTGGCCAAACTTCTCTTCAGGAGGCCATAGCAACCTCATTTTGACAGAAGAAACAGCATGGATAGACTACTTCCCAGCTGTGTAATCTTGAGCAAGTTACTGAATCTTTCTGAACTTCTGTATATTAGTAAAATATGGCCACCAGTAATACCTGCCCTGTCCACTCCAGTGGTGCTTTGCAAACAGCAAAGTGGAGTCCGAATGTGCAGGGCTGACAGTATAATATACCTGCTCCCCTGCAGGGACCAGTGGGGCCAGTGTCCACAAGGCCTTTCGGGCAGGAGCCTAGCACGGGCTTCTCCACAGCTCTGGTAGGAGGCTATGCAGGTCACAGTCTGGATGTGGTCCAGGCCATATTCTAGGTGACACCTCGGAGAGGCCCAGAATGGGCGAGAGCATGGGGAAGGCAAGGCTGATTGGGGAGGTAGGGAGCTGAGGCAGCTGTTGTGAAAGGCCCCTTGCACATTGGGGGAACAGAAAGACTGACCCCCGAGAAAACAGCCAGCACAGCCCTTCCTGGACAGCAGGTCCAGCGTGGGAGTGAGGGGGGCGGTGCAGAGGAGGAAATTCCCGCTGCAGCTATAGGTCAGTCAACCCATGGTCCCCTGGCCCATAGGCCATCTGACTCACTTGTGGAGCAAGTGCTTGCCCTGGCCTCCTCCCCTCCCTGGCAGAGGAGCACAGCAGAGATGGTTTCTTGGGGACCTGGTGCAGCTGTGGCCCTGAGACTGATTGGCCAGGGAGCTTTAAGCAGCTGAGTGTGTGTCATACAGTTAGCCTGGAAAGGGGAGGAAGCTTGGCCCAATTCCCAACAGGTGGAATAGAGGGAGAAATGCTGGGAAGCAAAAGAAGAAAACCTGGCTGCAGGCTGGGCTCTTTATTTGAGCAAAGGTTGCATGAAATACATCTGCTAGTGTCCTCACCATCTTCCCACCCCCACCCCCGCCCCCAAGTTAGGAAATCTTTGCCCCCAAGGCTGATCTGTCCCTGGGTGCTTTCCACTCATTCCTGCTCCTACACCTACCTCCTGGCTGCACCTTTACCCAGACCAGACCCCACCTGCCCCCAGGATGGTTTCCCAACCCCTAGCCCTTTCTCCCTCAAGGACAAATACTTTATACCTGCTGAGCACCTACCAGGGTAGGGGAGGCCACACAGATCAATAAGACTTAGCTTTCAAGCTAGTGAGCTAGAAAGGAGGCCACATACATTCTACTAAATACAATCTGTGGCATGTCTCTGCTCAGGAATCTCCAGGGACTCTATTTCTTATGGAATAAGATTTGGCTCCATCTGGCTCCTCACCATAGGGTCTCTCCTGCCCCTGTACTGGTGCTCAGTATCCACCTCTTGCCACAGAAACAGAGAAATCCTGTCTTCCTGCTGCTCCCTTCCATCAAGCATGTTTCACTGCCTTCTCTCTTTTTTTCTGCCTGCCAGAGCCTCAGCCCATCAAAGCCTGTCTTGCACATGCAGCCCAGTTCAGCCATCGTGACCCACACTGACTCTCCCTTTCATTAATTCTTTTATCCTCACCCGAGGATATTTTTCCACTTTTTGTTCAGATAGACTGGGAGGGAGAGAGGGGAAGAGAGAGAAACATCGATGTGAAAGGTACACATCGAGTGGATGCCTCCCGCACGACCCAACCAGGGCCGGGGACAAACTGCAACTGAGGTACGTGCCCTTAGTGGAAACCGAACCCGGGTCTCTCTGGATTGCAGGCCGACGCTCTAACCACTGAGCAATACCAGCCAGGGCTGACTCTCCCTTTTAAACTGTTTGTAAAATTAATCACAATGAACACCAAGAAATAAAAGACAAGCTGTAACCCCACCACCACCACCACACACACACACACACACACACACATCATGTGCTTGGTGGGCAGTAGTCTGCAGACCTGACACGGGTCTCTACAAACTGTTACCTCTCTGTATAGAATTTGAGAGTACACATTTAGAAACTTTTTATTTATTTAATTTTTTAGAGAGAGAGGAAGGAAGAGGGAGAGAGATAGAAACATTGATGAAAGAGAACATCGATTGGCTGCCTCCCACATGCCCCCCACTTGGGGATTTGGCCCACAACCTGGGCATGTGCCCTGACAGGAATCCAACCAGCTACCCCTCGGTGCATGGGTCGATGCTCAACCACTGAGTCACACCAGCTGGGCATAGAAACTTTTTTTAAAACTCAATTTGATACTGTAGCTACATCCAAATGCATGTTTTGTATTTCACAAATCAATTGGGAATTATAAAACAAAACAAAAGCCAAAACCTAGCCTCTAACCCTAGACAGCTGGAAAAGCAGATGGAAAGAGCCATTCTCTTCCGTGAGACTTGATGTTTAGTGCCACCAGCACTGTATTCGCAGAGGTGAGCCATAGTGCACTGTGTACCCACCTCACTGAAGACGGAGGCTGTGAATAAGTGCTCAGAGCTGTGCAGCACTTTATTGCCTACAAAGTCCTTTACAACAACAACTTTATGTGATGCTAACAACAAACCTGTGAGAAGTTTGGTCACAAACCTCCTGCCTGCTCACAAACCCAGAGGGGATGGACTTCATACCTCCCAAATGCAAAGCTCACAGTGCTTGTCCCTCCTCTCCCCTCCAGTCAGGGCATCCGGAAAACGGTATCCAAAAATTTAATTGTTAATATATGAATGCAAGGCTGTTTGGAAAAGTGTGTAGACCTGGTCCAAAAAGCATGAAGAGAAAATATAACTAAGGAGGGTGATTGACCCAAATACCAGAGAGCCCATGGGGAAGTGGGTAAGGTTGTGGAGGTCTGAGGAGTGAGAGGTGGGCCCATTAAAACCGGGCACAACATGGTCTGCGGCGCTGGTCTCAGAGCCAAGATGCTTGCGATCACAGCCTGCAACAGGAAACAGGAAGCCGCTGCAGGGCTGGGCGGGGCTTAGGAAGGGAGCTGGCACCTGGACTTAGGGCCTGCGGGTTGGCCAGTGCATGCCGGGCTGGTGTCTGCTGGCCAAGAGTGTGAGCCTGCGTGTGGGTGTGAGCATCGGGGGTGGGCGGAAGAGGCATCTTCCTGTTCACCAGCTCCCAAGGACATCACAGAGTAAGAAGTGAGGTTGTCCAAAGCTGGTTCCTGCGTGGTCACAAGCCCAGACGAGCCCTGCCACTGCCTTTGTCCTTAGTTCTGGCTACAGCTGGGGTACTAGGAGGGGCAGTTTCTGCCCTTGCCCACCAGATCCTAGGGGGTGACCAGCCCTTCGGGGCTCCATGCCCTATTTACTTGCTGTATGTATTTATTCATTGAAGATTTATACCCACCAACTTCCTCCAGGGTTAATTTTGCTCCGTGGGAGCACTCTGAGGTCACCTCTTGCTAAGAATAACCCAGAAAGGGAGGGCGGGGGAAGGGGGAGGAGGAGGGGAAAGAGGGGGCTGGGCGCAGGCGCTGAGCTCAGCCAGCCCGGCCCAAAGCCAGCAGTTACTCACTCCACGTTGAAGCAGAACCTCCAACACAACGCCTGAGTGAGTGAGTGAGTTCCAGAGGGCAAAAGCGCCCACTTTAGAGCCAAAGACGGGGGTACAGACTGTGGGAAGTTAGGGAACCATTCCTCTGCAGCAGAAGCCAGCTGGGTAGAGTTTAACTCAGCTGTTGGGAGTCTGCAGTACTGGTTCGTCTTCCAACCTGATATGACCTTTCAATTCATCTCCAAGTTAAGACAGAGCTCAGATCCCCTTTTTGTGTCCAGGTCAGAACAGCTCCATTGCTCACCCCTGGAACCCTGACTCGGTGACTTGGTGCCCGCTTGTTTTTATGCACAAAACTTCCTGAGAGAGTGCTGGCGTTGGCAGCACACATACTAAAATTGGAAGGATACAGAGAGGATGAGCAAGTCCCTGCGCAAGGATGATACACACGTTCGTGAAGCAGTCCACATTTTGTGCAGGACCCGGTGGGCGTCCTCACACCCTTTGATTAGCTGGGAAGAAACATGAGTCAAAGCACACTGTGGCACTCTAGCAAAATCGTGACTTTTCACTATAAAACTATTCGTGTAAGGCAATCCGTGAAATGAAAATGAAGCTGAGTTATCTCTGGGGTATTTGTGCTGATATGTTAACTTGCATTTCCTTCATAAATCTTAAAAAAAACAAAAAACAAACAAACAAAAAAAAACTTCCTGAAAAAGTCTCCTTTCTGGGCTCCAGCCCCTGGCCAGCCCCTCAGGGAGCTTCCCTGCCTGAGCCCACATTAGCACCCTGCTTCCCACTCCTGTCTTACCGTGTTTTTGAAGGTGTGAAGGAAACGGGGCTGTCATATTTCTCACAAGGTTAGAGGCTTTTCTTGTGACTGTCCTGCAGATTCATCTGCTCACCCTCCTGTCTGATGGGTCAGATCGGCACCCACTAATGGCATACAGTACTGTAGTTCCTGGCCCATGGGCGGGATGTCAAATTCAAAGACATGTTGGGAGTGGGGCTGGACTTGGGCCTTAGAAGGGAGGTAACGTTTAGAAGTCAAGGGAAAAGTGAGAGACTTTCCTTCTGAGTGAAGGTGTGGAGGGGAATGAGCACATGGGCACAACATGTTGTGGGGAGGCCGAAGGCTGAGTGGAATAGGGTTTCATTTAAGAACAATGGTTTTCATCTTGGTTGGAGAGGCAGTTCGAGGCAGCCTGAGTGATTTACACTTTATCCTCCCAAAACTGTGTTGTATTTATCTGGAAGGTTTTTGAGGGGTTGGGGACATGAAGTGATGGGAGTCATGTTTGGGAAGCTGGCCCTGGCAACCATGAGCATGATGGGTTGAGCACAAAAGAATGCTGGGATTTAGGAGGGTAGGTGAGGGGGAGCCAGATAACACCCCCAGAGCCCATTGGGGGAGGTGATGGTGGGACAGAATTGGCAGGGCCAGTGCTGCTGGCCACTCCAGAGGAGGGAGAGGAAGGGGGAGAACAGATGTTCCCAGACCTCAGCCATGGCATTAGTGGTATTGTCAGAGATCAAGACTTCTGGAAGGGAGCAGCTTTGTCAGGGGCCCTCTACATTGCCAGTCTTAGTGGGGGAGCATCTCAGTGAAATTTTTAATCTCTATTCTATTTTTTCAAAAATATCTCTCTGTTTTCATCCCTCCCTGGCCCCTTCCCCAGAGTTACACATTCCAGGGCCACCTCCAGCAAAAGTCGGTCGCTCCCTGGGGTCCCGGCTGCCCCGGAGCCCAGCTGCACCTGCACCGCTCCTGCTTCAGCAGGCACTCGCCGGCACATGCATCTGGGCAGGGTTGTTGACGTTGGTTTTCTTTCATCATCCTCACCTAGGGAATTTTGTGTTTCAGTTCTGCCACCTCAGGAAAGATACAACCCAGCTGGAAAAGCTCCAAAGAAGGGCAGCTAAACTGATCAAGGGGAAGGCAAGGCTGCCAAGTGAGGACAGACTAAAGAGATTATGACTCTCAAGTCTAGAGAGACAAAGGCCGAGAGGGGATGTGATTAAAGCTATGAAATCATGTCTCAGGGTGGGGCAGGATGAGCACACCCCAGTGCTGAGGTGGGGGTGGGGAGGTACCTATTAGAAACTTTAGAAAGGTACATGAAGCACAGAAAAGAAAGCGCCATTTCCCATAGTGCATTCCCTTCTTACCAAACCTGTCACCCTAGGCGTGGATGCTAGAGGTTGAAAATAGAGAACTTCAAAAGATATTTACTTAAATGCATGGATCTTCTATACATAATGGCTTTTGCAAGGAAGCCTTCAGCTCGCCCTGAAATCCTTTGAGGTTCACTTCAAAGAGCATAGCCAGGCCCTCTTCCAGGTGGACAGGTGTCCCTGTTGGTAATGGAACCCCGAGTGGGCTGGCCACTCACTAGGCATGTTCATTCTTGCATCTGTTTGCCATGACCAGCAGGGGCATGGACTGAGTGACAGACCTCTAAGGCTTTGCTGAACCCTGAAGTTCTCAATTTGAGTCACACACACACACACACACACACACACACACACACACGTGCACGCGTTCACGCATAAGGGCATGGCAGAACCTGGTGGAGAGATCTCTAGGGGAGAGTGGGAAGGCAGTTCCCAGCCTAAATGGTGAGGGAAATGGAACCTAGAGGTGGGTGCCCAGGCTGGGGCCAAACTTTCCAGAGTTAGCCCTCTTTGGTCTCTGGCCTTTGGTTCCTTGACCCCACTGATAGACCTTTTAGCTGCTCCACCAGGGAGAAGGAAATTGGAGGGGTCAGAAGTATTGGACCTTGGCTGTGTTCACCCCAGGGAGGCTGAATAGGGAGGCATTTGGGACCTCTTGTGGGAGTAGGCATGGGGTGGACCTCTCTGGCTCTCCCTGTCTCAAGACCACCTCCGGCCAGTCAGATCAGAGGGCTTCCAGGGAAGGGGCTGCAGGAAGGCCTGGAGTACAGGAGAGGGGGGAGCTGGAGCCCAGTGCCAACACTTGTGGGCAGGGCTGCCCTGCTTAAGTGGACTCTGGCTGGTTCCTCAAACTAGAGTCGACCTGGGAAAATCCAGGGTTTGGTAGGGGCTGATGGACCTGCAGGAGCTAAGGAACTGGAATCATCTGCAGGTGTGAGTGGAAGGGGACTGTGATTTTGTTGATATCACTCTGTGGCATCTTAGTCCTGCAGGATGAGCGGGTAGCTCTGGGCAGCAGTGCATAACTCTGTGTGTGTGTGTGTGTGTGTGTGTGTGTGTGTGTGTGTGTGAGATTGTGTGTGATTGTGTGTCTGTGTGTCTTTAATCAAGAGGCCAATGCTGGCCTGATGCCAGGGTTCCTGGCTGGCACAGAGCTGAGCACTGCCAAGGGCCTTAAAGGCACAGTGGCAGTAACATGGGGAAGGCCAGGGAGGGTGAGGTGAGGTGGAGGACGGGCAGGTGAAGGGCCATCCCTGCGTCTGCTGGTTTCTGGGCCTCCCTCTCCACACCTGCCCCAGGGTCAGGGGGAGAAGGCTCTTTCAGCCACAGCCCCATCACTGGGGTGGAGGGTGAGTCAGGTGCCCAGAGCCAACCCAGGATCCTGGCTTCTACCTCTAGGGGCTTCTACCTCTAGGGGCTTCCAGGGCCTCCGCGCCTCCTCCTCCACACCTGGGCCCAGGTGAATGGGCTCCTGCACCCACAGATGCCTGAGCCCGTTTCCCATGTATTGTTTTCCTTCTTACTTGCTAGGCTTTAATTTTGTGTGGGTAAATATTATAACTATAGTAAAGGGACTCTTGAAAATCACTTCCTTATTTGGAACTGTCGAACTCTGCCCACCTTGGGAGACAAGGCCTTACCTGAAAGGGAGGGGTGGGAGCTCTGGGGTTCAGAGCACATTTCCAGCAAAAGGGCAGTGAGGGAGCGGGGCTGGGGGCTGAGCAATTGGCTTTGACCTGGACAGGTTCACTGAAGAAGGCTCCTACTTGCTTTGCCTTGCTTTGCGGCTAGCCTTCCCCTGGCCCTGCTTAGGCCCGTCAAAGCTTCTTTCCTCCTGGAAACCCTTGGGATTTGAGGTTGCACTTTTCCAGAGACTCAACCCAGAGCAGGAGCTGGTTTCCAAATGCCTCTCCTGTACCTGGGTCATTCTGGAAGCTTTACCATTTAGAAAGTGTGTGACCTGAGGTGAGCCTTGGAGTCTCTATCCTCGGGAAAGTGGGGGTAACACTACCCATCAGAATAATTGTGATAATTAAATTAATTAACTATATAACCATATCTGTGCTGGGTCTTGTGCTTCGTACTAGGAGCTGTAGGTAGAGTGGTCGGAAGGGAGACAAATGAAAAGGTAAATGAGGCAAAGCTCACAGTCTAAGAAAGAGATACACAGTAAACAAATAATTAGGTAGAGTGTCAGGAGTGCTACAATGAGATAGGATGTGAAAGTGTTCTGTAAACAAACGAGCATGCAGTGGCTGGAAGACAGAGGGAACACTGGAGTGGACTTTAACCACACTCCTGGGGCTAGGCTGGGACCAGCAGCCTGCCAACCCCACTGAGGCTCTGGGAGCTGGGGGTGGGGGTGAGGCCGAGGTCTCCAAAAACCAGGGCCTAGCGTAGATCCCTCCCAGGTTTTGTGTGTGTGAGAGACAGACAGACAGGCAGGTGACTTTAAAATGTTCCTTAGAAGACAGAAAGTAGAATAGTGGTTACCAGGGACTGGGGCAGTGGGAGTGGGGAGTTGTTTATTGGATACAAAGTTTCTGTTTGGGGTGATAAAGTTCTGAAGATGAATGGTTGTGATGACTGCTCAACAGTGTGGATGTACTTAATACCACTGAATTGTATACTTGAAAATGGCAAATTTTCGGTTATGTATTTTTTACCACAATGTTTTTTTAAAGTATTCTTTTTCACTTTACTTTTTTTTTTTTTAATCCTTACCCAAGGATATGAGAGAGATATATTGATCGGTTGCCCTCCATATGCTCCCCGACTAGGGATCAAATCTGCAACCCAGGTGTGTGCCTCGACCGAGAATCGAACTGGCATCCTTTCTGTGCATGAAGCTCAGCCAACTGAGCCACTCCAGCCGGCCTAAAATTGTTTTTTTCAATGGTCCTTAGAAAAAAGGCAGTCCCTGGTCAGTGCCCCTACCCTCAGCCGGGGGGTTCTCAACAGCACATTTTGACATTGACATTTTGGGCTGAATAAATAATTTTTTTGTTGTGGGCACTGTCTTATTTCTTGTAGGGTGTTTAGCAGTACCCCTAGCCCCTATGTACAAGACGCCAGCAGTCCACCCCATCCCAGTGTGACCGCCCAAATATCTCAGATATATTGCCAAATGCCCTCTGTGGCAAAATCGCCCCCCATTGAGAGCTGCTGCCTTCACCAGCTGGGAATAAGCTGCTCACGGGAGAAGCCCAAGGAGTGGGTAGTAGGCAACAGAGAAGCAGGAGGCAGTTGTCCCAAGTGGAGGGGTCTTGCCTGGAAGGAAGGCAAAAGTCAACACA